CAACAATATAATGATAATGACAGGTGACAACAGTGGATGGTGGTTAAATCATATGGCGGTAATGATGAGGATGTCAGGGCACCAGCTGATTGCTTGGTCAAGAGACATGACTAAGCCTTTATGACATGGAAGTAGCTGGTATACCTTGGCATGTGCTGGAACCTGCTGGAAGGATTGGATGGTCAGGTGACCTGCTGTGCATGGCTGTGCATGACCTCATATGACCTCATCCTTGGTCATATGACCTGATCACCTGACTAGGCTGAGTAAGCAAGATGTTCTAGCAGGTTCCACCACAGAGGTATAAATATAAGGCCTACTCTGCCTGGGGACTGTCTCTTCAGACTTGGTCTCTTAGGATCATCCACAGGTACCTATACTGTAGATAGGTCTTAGTCATCAGGTCTACTCCACTTCCTTGTTGCCTGCTTAGACTCTTGGCACTCTTAGGTGAGCAGACTTAGTCAGCCTGTGTTGCCCTAACAGAGGACACAATAGTAAACACTGGATACAATGGTTCAATGACAAGTAATGAATACGAGGATGGGAGTGTGGGAGTGCAGTATTGGATAATGGAGGATGCACCTTGGGAATAAATCACAGATGAGAGCCTCATGTTGGGCTCCAGTTGATGTAACTCCTACTGTACCATAGATACCATAGGTAGTCTAATCGAGCTCTTTTGTGAACCTCCTATGGGTGAGCATGCTTCCAGATAATGGATGTTGGTATACCAGTATATTGGTATATATACAGTGCTGTGCTCAAAGAAGATGTGATATCAAGGAGAGGGGCTAGCTATAAAGGGGATACAGAGTGGTCAAAGGGGATGAGTTTGGCACCCCATTACAGGGGTATATGAGCTATCTAATATAGGATCTAAAGGAATGTGGAGGTGGTAATTGGAAGATACCATGGAAAATACCTGAAACTAATTGAGTGAGACAGACCCTTGATATTGGTCTGGCAGTATCCGGATACCACATGTGAGCCAGTAAAACAGATGTTCCAGCAACAAATATATTGGGTATGGCTATGATGGACTAACTACAATACAGTTCATAGGCATGTTTATTGGTATGTCAGGGTGGGTAGGCAGCATAGGGTTGGAGAAGGCTAGTGTTCAAAGGATGCAGTTGCATGTCTTTTGTTACTAGCAGGTGTGAAACAATGCCACTTTAAATGGGTCTCTGAGTTGTCCTCCCATTCTGGCTAGCTGGCACTGTGACAAAAAGGTGCTCTACTCAAGGAATGCAGCTTGTCGCCATGCCAACATTCAGCAGCACAAATACCTGAGGCCTCATGGTGTGCTGGCCCAGTGCAAGGGGGATGTGAGGGGATATATGAGGGAACAAAAGGCAGCTCCCAGAAACACAGAACAAAGAGAACTGTGAAAGACACACCACTTGTCATTGTCATGGCCAGCATCTGTTGAGTAAATGGATGAAATGCCCTTGCATGTCAAAATTTTGGCTACAATGACCTTTGCCTCTCCTTATGTCCAGAATGCCCTTCTCAACAGATGCATGTGGGGATGCTGACATTAAGTAACTAGAATGGTTTCCATCACACGGAATCTAGATGCAAATGGTGAAACTAACAAGTTTCCATGGAGTTACCATACCCTTTCTACGGTCAGCATTTTGATTCCGAGTCGCCGGTAAGAACCCTACTCTCACGAGCTAGGGGACTTCGGCTAACTCCGGGGATCATCCGCCGACGCTGGCCCCTGGATGGGGAAACTTCGGCTCCAAGGGTCCACAGTGTGCTTCGGGTCGTTAGGCAAGTGACCTGGTGAAGCTTTGCCCGGCATGCGGTGTCCATTGTTCTGCCAAAGTCTCGGGGTCGGAGACGTAAATGCTGCAGTGCGGCCGTATCGGTTGGAAGGGATCCCAGTTGTTCGGCCATGAAGAGCTCGTTGTTCATGGTCCCTCGCCGCTCTACCCCGAGGACTTTGATAGCAACCATACCCCATCTTGGAGGTCACGCGTGTGGATGAGCCGCCGCTGAGGTTGTGGAGAACTTTGTAGGGGCCGTTGCAGACTGGAGGGCAATTGGGCAATAGCCTCCAACATGATAGTTCTCTAGGTCCTCGCTGCTGATCACGTCGGCGTCTCAGAATCGAGTATTAGGGTATGGATTGACCTGGTGTGTGGGTGCTGGTGCAGAGGCTTGACGTTGTAGATCACCTGGAAGAAACGCATCCATTCCTTACAGACGAGACTAAGTCGTTGATAAAATTGCAACATGATGGCAGGAGTAAGAGAGAATTCTTCGCCCGAAAAGAGTCATAAAGATATATATCGATGTGATCATGAGTACTTTGTGTGGTAACGCGTACGGCATCAGAAAGGACCCTGATGTGCCTCTGGTGCGCCGTTTCAGTTGCCAGCTTCTTGCCGCCGTCCATCGTTCTGCACAAAATGCGCAGGTTCGGTCGTCGGGGGACTCTCTACTTTCGGGATTACTGCTTATACCCAGTGAGGACGTACAGCAGCTCGGTCGCTCTTGTGTCGTCAGCCAAGATGCATGGGCCAACAACGGCCCTCAAACGTCCCCAAGAGATCCCTCCAAATTGGCGCGACTTCAGGCGTGAGTAGTTCCGTCTTGACAGGTGACAGCGCTTTGACTTCGCGTTCCACTCTCCAGACCTCACTCTATCCGAAGAGGAAGTCGACTATAAGGGCTTATTCGATCCTTCGTTCGCACACCAGGTCAGGCTCGGCATCGAACTTCCTGCTCTGGCATTCGCGGCGTGCATGGCTGTGGACGAATGGAATATGGTGGAATTGACATTATTGTCGATTGCTGGAGTGTCCAGCAAGCTGTACCTAATTAAATTTGGGAGCGGAAGGAAGATAGTCGGTCGCATACGCATCACCCCGATGGACAGTCTCTCCGAGCTTCAGAAACGATGTTACCGCGAGCGCCTCGAATCTGAGGTAGCGACGCTAACGTACGTCCGCCTTTTCTGCTCGGACATACCCACGCCCGTGGTATGGGCCTGGAACGGCAGTGCTGAGAACGCTGTGGGAGCTCCGTATGTCCTGCTGGACTACGTGGAAGGGGAGACCTTGGAAGATGTGTGGCACAATTGTTCGGATCCCACGGAAAAGACGACCATCCTCCAAGAGGTCGCAAAACATCACGCGGCGCTCGCAAAAGCCGTTCTTCCTTTTCGGGGCTTCGGCGCGTTACGCTTCACGAGTGTGGTAGGAGAAGAGCGTCTATTGAACGATACCGATTTTCGATTGGGGCCGTTTCTGTCTGAGGGCCGGCACTTCCGAGTAACCAAGTCACGTCGGCTTGTCTCGCCTCCTCCCACCGCCGCGCTCTCGCCTAGTGATCTCTGGCGAGACCTTTTAGTGGAAGAGCGCCGTAGCCATTTGATCTGTTGGGGCGCGGTCCCGGAAACATCAGTGGTGCTTCCGAAAGATGACATAGACAGCCCCGTGAATGTAGATGTCGCCTGGAACGATATCCAGGCTGCCAGCAAGTTGGTTGAGCGCCTCATTTCGGCAACGAGGGTGCCCCCTTGGCTATGTTCGCCATGTTTCTCGATTTCGGATTATGCGTTTAGAAACGTTATCTACGATCCCGGTGAGTAGGGTCACGGTCTGGGCGTTGCGGCTGCCGAGACGACTACAGCCTGCAAGAGACTTTCCGGCTACATTGACTGGGAAAGCGTATCCATTTTTCCGCTCTTCATGATGGTGCGATATCCAGAGGACATCGTCAACGATGTCGATGACCTTCCTCGACGATGGCGCCGGGAGACAGGTGGCTTCGCTTGGGTGCCTCCAGATGGCCAAACCTGCTCGCAAGAGAGTGGGCGGTCTCCGGAGTCCTGTTCACGTGATAGTCTCTACCCTGCCACATTCCGCGAGGCTCTCTATCGTTCGAACAATCGATTTGATATGTCGTTCTGAGAGAAAGCTCCGGCTTTACTGAAGATCCACTACCTCTTTCTACATGGTCTCAACGCCTGGTTCCCGCGGATCGAGTGGTTGCAGCGCATCGTCGCCGAGGCGGAGCAGAAGCCCTGATAAGTGTGTCCGACTGTCCGACGGCAAGTCCTGTATTTGCCCACGAAGAAACCCCGAAACGAACGCGGCGTGCATAGCAAGATCTGTCCGCACAAAGCCCTTGCACTTGAAGTACCGCGGGTTCGTGCATGCACTACATTGAACCCCCGCGCGCTTATTTTATCCACTCTGATCTTCCCAATGTCTTTTCTTTTTGTGACAGTGGATTTCGATAAGATCTGTTACATGCTTGTGTGTGACATGAATACATTCCATCTGCACTCCGGCTAAACATGGACATAACAGTGTCTTCCGAGACATTGTACGACGCCGAATATCACCTTTTGTATGCTTCTCTGCCGCTCATCTCTGTACATCCCCCTCACCATGTAGCGGGGAACCCATCCTGTTGGTATTATAGTAGGCGAGCCTTGTGGCCGGAAATCAGGATCGACCCTATGACTGGACTGTAGGGAAAAGCTCTTCGATCCCAAGGAGGCTAGGAAAAGAAGCCAGCTTGTGAGCCCGCAGTGCATCATGTACACAGAGACCCAATGCCTGTCAAAGGAGTCGAATCCCACCTTGGTGTGTGCGTGGAGGGCGGTGAAAGGGTTTCTTGCGCAGGGAAGCACTGTTTCGTTGACTTTTTGTGAAAGCATCCCCCAATGCAGGTCTAACTTCATAGGCATACCCTGGCTTCTGTCCCTAAAGATAATGGGTAGACGGCTCAGCCCCAAACGAGCCGTATTCCCAACACCGACTCGCCACACTCAGCCTTTTCCGCCGAAGCCGCTCTTCCAACCGACTGCATATCAACAAGCGGATTTGCGGCGCTCGAATTCAGCTCACTGCGTTCGAAGTATCACTCGACATCTTCCAAGCTGTCGGAGAGCTGCTTCGAGTATACCCAGAGAATACCGATATAGGTTGTGGCAGTATCGCAGTGGCAAGGACTCAGGACCCGGTCGAAGAAGAGGCTCTTGCGATGGCTCGAAAAGCACTGCCAACCTCTTCCTGATGCCCAGTGCTCCCCTGATCTCATTGAGGCTTACTACAATGCCGGCGATGGCTACACAACAATCCACCGGGACTGGCCATAGACAACGTCGGGGTCGAGACGGCTACAAATCCCTCGTACGAAGTCAACCCGATCCTCCGGAGATTCGTGCTTGATTCCGCTCAGCACTGCATAATCCTCACCGTCTTCCTCAGGATGCAAATCCATGTACTTTGCCGCACCGGCCAGGTGAGCGACAATGGCGCAAGACCGGTGAATCGCGAGCAGTATTGGCGAAGGAGCAGGCAAGTCTGGGTCGTCCGACGTCAGGTCGATGGTCACATTGCCCATCTCGTAATCACGAAGAGTCTTCAGCTTGTATTTGTTTAAAATACCCTATCGAGATATCAGTTGATGTTAGAGGGGAAACACTGCAATTTGAAACACACCTGAGGTTCTAGGTAGCAGCGGAGATTATGGAACCGCTCGTGCCAGAGCGAAGTGCCCGTAAAAACGTTCTCGAGCCGGTGGATCTGCGGCCCGTATAAATACATCGGCAGTTCATCGTCTGTCATCCGCGTCAAGACGGCCATGCAGGTGCCGGTCCACCTGCGCTGAATTGCCTGTTATGCCCTGCATAGGTCTGGAGGCATTACACTCACCTTGTCATCATCGTGCTGCCTACTGATGAAGCCTTGTGGAATGATGTGACACAGTTTCGTGTTTGCCCTCGTAGGAATGGAGCCGTTGCTGGCCGGAGCTGCGACCAAGCCGGCTTGAATTGAAACTTCGTCGACACATCCACTGAAAATACAACGAAAGCGGTCGCGCTTAAGTGCCTGGGAACCTTCTTCAGCAGGTCTAACAACCGAGCAGGCTCGCAACCACGTACCTTAGCTTTGCTCGATTCATGGCTTTTCGGCCCTGATTCTGCAAAAATGCCTGATCTTCAAAGGATGGTCGAGACGGATGCTCGGACGGGGCTGGAGTACCAGCTCGCTTGACTGCAGAAGGACAAGGTTTTAGCACGACAGATATCGAGGTTCTTGATTGAACGTACAAATCCGAATAAAATGCTGCCACCACATTTCCCCTAGTTCCAGGACCACCACCTTCTTGTTTTCACAGCTGTTGATTTGGACAGCGAGATCTCTGCGCGCGGTAGGCACTGGTGGAGAGAACAGAAACCAGCCGAGGATGCGCGCTCGGATTAAATCCTTCTCTTCGGCACAGTCGCATAAGCCCTGCACGGCGACGCATGTATTGTATGCCCGTCTCTGATCATCGTCAAAGTGAGCTGGAGCTTTTTGAGGCAGGGCGAGAGGATAGGTTGGAAAGTCCATGTCGAGGTCTTGGTGTTGTTGCGGGGCATATGGGTCAGGGTCCCATATGCCCCGAATCCTGGGACCCCGGACCTCGGACCCCACGGGCCACGTGAACCACGCGTGGCTTTGCCCCCGCTTCTTCATATTTGCTTCAGTGTGGTTAATTTTCTTTGTTCCAACATCCCGTTCCACCAGTTTGACATGAAGATGAATGAATATCGCCAATATACCACCGAGTTCTGTTCATAGCCACCATTCAACATTTGGCCCTCGTCCCTAACAACGTGCTCCACCCAACATGTTTTGACCCATCATGTCGCCGGAGGAGGCGAGAAGTACCGGGATATCCTCGAGGGTCCTGACGCGCTCTCCAGGGAACAAGGACTGATCAGACCAGAAGGGGAGGGGGGAAAAGTGCTTAAATACCTGCTCCATGCGGTCAACTTCACCGTGGTTCGCTACCCGCAACTCCATCGCTCTTGCTCGCGCCTTCACCGAGACGCTTTGCGATTGCCAGCAGCGTCCAGTCACGTCCTTATTTGGTCTCTCCTCTGGCACTTTAACGACCCTTGTCACTTTCTAGCACGACATCAACCTCGCTACGTCAAAGACATGGGCTGTCAAGGCCGAAGTGGTCAAGGGCATGTGCCAGGTATCCCTCATCTTCGCCTGCGGTACGGCTCTCTTCTCAGACGGCTATGCCAACGGTCTCGTCGGTGCCTTGAACTTGCGTGCGTCTATCCTTCGCCTCATCCTATCATCGCACTGACGATTTCCTAGTCCTCATGACCGTCTACCCCGACTAATTCAACCTCACTAACTCCAACTTCACCAAGGTCCTCAACTCGCTTATCTTTGCTGGCACCGTCTTTGGCATGCTTACCTTTGGTATGATCAGTGACAAGGTTCGCCACTCCA